GTATTCAAAACTTGTTCAACATGATTTCATTTCATTTCAGGCACTGCCTGAGAAAACTAAATTACAGAATCAATCATACAGAAGGTCAGAGTGAGACTTCATTACAAGTATTGCATGCTTGCATGAATATCTTTCATTTATGACTGACCCAATATGTCACAATAGCTGTCTAGTAAAAATAATCCACTTTCTGAAATTGATGTACTACTGATGTCAATGCTACTCAGCAGGCTGGGCAGATTATAGAGAGGTGTTAAAAAAAGGAACCCTCAGGAGCACAAGTTGTAGTTTTATAGAATTGCCACAGTTTGCAGATTAAAATAATTCTTCCATGGGCAGCTCAACAGAAAACAGAGCATTAATGTAAAATATTGGGGGTTGATTTTTAATGAGGATATCGCTGTTGATTTCCACTTATTTATATTCAAGTATTTATAGGGATAATATTTGCATCATGTAAATCCATGTGTTCTTTGAAGTCAAATGTACATCAATACTCCATTTTCAGTGACTCATTTTTGAACATCAGGATTTTATTTGCATATTATTAAAATATTAAAATTATTCAAACTGCCTCCATTTTATCTCCTCTTTTTCTTGCTGTTGTCTGTTTTTAAATGTAGAAAAATGCTGTTAAGTAACATGTGTGTTGTGTTTGTTGCCAATAATAATGAAGTTAATCAGCATTGTGACAAATTGTTACTCTTTCCATAGTCTGTATATCTTAATAGTATGAAAAATTGTTACCTCATCAATATGATCTTTTAATAATTGCTAGGCCACATTTATGCTGAGAATAAATACCTTTCTTGCATGATGAATGATTTTTTTTAAACATAATAACACACAAAGAATATGTTAAAAAGAGGATTTTCTTTTTTTTTTTTCTTTTTTCCTTCCTGTGGGAAATATATGAGATACTTGCAGAAGTATTACAAGGTAGCTAGCCAACTCCATACCCTAAGGGAGACACAGGAAAACCTTGACATAACCTATTTTTAACCATGCCTCTGGCAATTCTGCACTCAAGTTTATAGGTGAACATGTCAGGTAGTACATAGAAAAAAAGCCAAAGACACACAGTATTAATCATAATTCTGTCCAAGCCCATTTTATTTTTTCAACATTTGTGATTTAAAATCTCATGACATTTCTTCAAGGTGAAATTCTTCTACCGGACTTTTCAACAGGGTAGGACTACATTTATCTAAATTAAATATTGCTTACAATAAAGCTCTCTAATGCTTCACAAGGTAACCAATAAACTCCATGCAGTTCATATGAAAATAATTTAAGTTTGTATTCAGCTAAAAAAGCTTTAGTGATTAGCAATACAGCCTTTAAATAAGACTATCCTAGTATCGCTGGATAAGAACATTGTTCTGTAAGTGTATACGAACATCATAATTATTTTACAACCCCATCTTTAGTTCTTTCAGATATAGTAAATTCAATTGACCATGAAATGAAATTTCATAGTCAAAATGCCTCCTTTACATTTTTTTTATTGCTGCAATAAAGTTTTTATAGCTGCAAGGCAAGGTAATTCATGAAATGTCTAATTTAAAGATGAATTCTAATATTATTAATAAATATTTACCAGTTTAATAAAGTGCACGTTTTTCACATAAAATACGATATTATGTTTTCATTTTCTATTTTTGAAATACAGATTAACTGCTGGAAATTTTTAGTACTAAAGAAAGCTATGTGAGTTCAGGGGAAACCTATGCAAGGACCCTCTGCTAATGTGCTTAAACTTCCTGAAGCTACCCAGCATTTATGAGCAGAAGGGAAAAAGACTACTGACTAAAATACAATGCAGGGGCCACTCCATCTTACAGGATAAAACAAATCAAGCAGTTGGGGGGAAATGTCTGACACATGAACCTCCCTATGTGGCTCCTCCATATCAAATCACACAATTCCTCATCAATTCTCTGCAGTAAAACTACACCCAAGTTCCCAGCCCACAGCTTTGAACTGGCAATCACCCTAGAAAATACCACTGGACTACCAGGATAAGAAGGCATGAGCTTCTCTAGATCTTCTCTTTGGCCTATACAGGAACAAATTCTTATCACTGAAGTCAATGTAAACTACGCCATTAATTTCTACTTTGCACAGTCTAGAAAAAAAGGAAAAGATGTAAAGCCTCTCATTCAGTGCAAGAAGAGGCGAGAGAAAAGATACCCCACCAGGAGGCCTCTCCTAGTTGGAACTGTTAAGGTGACAGCATTTACTCATGGAAGAACCACATTCAGTGAAAGGATGCAAAATTAAAAGGCAAAACTAGTTCGTGTTACAAACACCTTAATAACGTTAAGGGAATACTCATACATGTAACATAACACTGACCCCGCCCATATTTCTGAGCAAATTTCATTGTATTCAGTGTACACACATTCTATTACTTTAGTTTTCAGGCATAACATTCCTGACTCTCGAGTTTTAATAATCTGATCTTTCATTAGTAGTCGCCCAACATGTCCAGTGCATACAAAATCCCATGCAAAATGAGATCTGGAAAGAAGTATCATATCCTTCAAGGCCTGTTTTAGGCAGTCCTAAATCTATGTTATCTATGGAATTACTGAATTTTGTACCTCATAAGTGGTGAGCAGTTTGTACTTAATTCTCTATTAGTGCTAGCTACTCTTCATGACCTCCAAGGAAATATTAAAATTTGCAACAAAATAAGCAGCCTGTAGAATTCTAGAGAAATATTTGCTGCGTGTTGGTTTGTAAATCTTTAATTAATTTTCACTTGCCAGAATAATAAAAAAAAACAAAAAAGATTTACATGAAATCATAACACAACAACACGATGACCTTTATTACAGTCCAGCAGTAAATCTGTATTTTCACTACACCAAGTTTAGCAAAAGGTCCTATATAAAACAGCTAATCAGAAAAAATACAGTTGATGTAAAATATCTGTTCAAGCTAAACATTCATTCTGTCTTCAATATGCACTAGAGAAACTAATTCTAATCGTAACCATTGAGTTTAAAATGCTAAGTATGATAACTGACTCACAGCTGTGTCTCGTCACTGCGAGTATGGATGTTCCTGCACAAAGCTTAGAGAAACCAAAGCAGGGAGATCCCCCAAAGCTGAAAGGGAAATACAAGAAAGTGGAAACTGCCCTATATACCCTCCCACTGAGATCATAGCCTTGCAGTGCGATAGATTCTGGAGATTCCATACAGCCTCCGTTTTGATTGTTCTAATTAACAGGAACGATCACTGGAATTAGCCTAACAGTCCCCATC